CCACCCTCATTGCTATTTACTCATATTTGAATCTCCAGCGTGATCTTTGAGGCTGTAAAATTGCAGAGGTTGGAGATTTTCCGTCTTTCTCCCTCTGAACACTGGTGGAGTCATACTACCAGAGACACAGCATTTGGGTTAGCAGGGCAACTCCCTACATACAGACTACACCATCAGATCAAGGTGAAGTAAAAAACTGCAAAGCTTCTAGTTCAAGCTACAACATAATGCCCTACCCATCTGTTGACCCCAATTTTTAGCAACCCTGCAGGTCCAATTAGAAATGCGCCATAGGATTATCAAAGCTGTAACTTTATTAGAGCGGAAAATGCAACATCTTTCTTCTATAGAATGAATAGGTATGAATCACAAGCTTTTCGGTTAGCTGTTGAGTGCTTAACCAAATATTATGCTGAGTGAAAGAAATCAAGTCAGTCACAAAAGGGACAAATAATGGTCATCTCACTTTTACAAAATATCTAGAAGAGGCAAATATATATGGATCAAAATGGTTACCAGGTAAGGGGAGGACAAGGAAAGAATTTCAAAAGTGCCACAAGTTTCCATTAATGGTGATGGAAAATTTGGAAAACAACTAACTGGTGGTGGTAATGATTACCCAAACACGACAAACTTAATGTGAGCTACTGAATTATCCATGTTAAAAAGCTGATTTGGAAAAAAAAAAAAAAAGCTGATTTGGCAAATGTTTTGTCATAGAAATTTCTAACTACAATTTTTTTTTTTAAAAGTGTATGTCATTAATCCAATCCTTCTAGTTCCCCTTTTAAACCAATGTGTGTGTGGAGGAGGGGAACACCACAGTGAACCTAGTTATTATTCGTGCAGCCAAAACCACTAGGCGTCGGCCTGGCCCACACCATCACAGTGACCTACATCCAGCCGCCTTGTAGAAATGCAAACTGTCTCCTTGCAGTGTGGGAAGGAACGGCAAGGGGGAAAAGCAACGGCCTTGGTTCTACCTTAAACTATCAAACTAGTTTGAGTCCAACACCACTTTGCAATTGCAAACAAAGGCTGACCCGTCTGGTTAATCTCACACTGAACAGTTGGCGCCAACATTGCCAAGGGGTCAGAGCTGGGGTGCTCTGAGTCAGCAACAGCCCAGCACCGCCCTTGATCCTTCCTACCTTCGTACCCCCTCTAGTGAATCCGCGAAGAGTCTGGATCATTCTGGGGAAGGGCGGCCCCCTGGACTCTGATTGGTCCCAGGAAGCTAAGGGGCGGGACGCTAAGGGAAGCCCCTGGAATATTCCGGAATTGGCAGCCCAGCCGAGCGCGGTGATTGGATCTGGGGGAGAAAGGCGGAGCGCCACGGAGAAAGATAAATACGGCGCCACGGACCGAAAAGGCATAAACTACTGGAAGAAAGGAAAACGCTTGCTTTTCTTCTCCACTCCCTGAGTGCAACTCCTGAAGACTCGCCGCCAGACTTCGGCTTTCTGAAACAGCGCTCCTTGTCGCAGCTTCCGCCAGTCTTTTTCAGGTCTGAACTTCAGCGCCAGACCACAGCAGCGGTCAGACATGGCTAAAAACACGGCCATCGGCATCGACCTGGGCACCACCTACTCTTGCGTGGGGGTGTTCCAGCACGGCAAGGTGGAGATCATCGCCAACGACCAGGGCAACCGCACCACCCCCAGCTACGTGGCCTTCACCGACACCGAGCGGCTCATCGGCGATGCGGCCAAGAACCAGGTGGCTCTGAACCCCCAGAACACCGTGTTCGACGCCAAGCGGCTGATCGGCCGCAAGTTCAGCGACTCGGTGGTGCAGTCGGACATGAAGCACTGGCCCTTCCAGGTGATCAACGACGGGGACAAGCCCAAGGTGCAGGTGAGCTACAAGGGGGAGACCAAGGCGTTCTACCCCGAGGAGATCTCGTCCATGGTGCTGACCAAGATGAAGGAGATCGCCGAGGCGTACCTGGGCTGCCCGGTGACGAACGCGGTGATCACGGTGCCAGCCTACTTCAACGACTCGCAGCGCCAGGCCACCAAGGACGCAGGCGTGATCGCGGGGCTGAACGTGCTGAGGATCATCAACGAGCCCACTGCGGCCGCCATCGCCTACGGCCTGGACCGAACAGGCAAGGGGGAGCGCAACGTGCTCATCTTTGACCTGGGCGGGGGCACGTTTGACGTGTCCATCCTGACGATCGACGATGGCATCTTTGAGGTGAAGGCCACGGCCGGGGACACCCACCTGGGTGGGGAGGACTTTGACAACAGGCTGGTGAGCCACTTTGTGGAAGAGTTCAAGAGGAAGCACAAGAAAGACATCAGCCAGAACAAGCGGGCAGTGAGGCGGCTGCGCACTGCCTGCGAGAGGGCCAAGAGGACCCTGTCTTCCAGCACCCAGGCCAGCTTGGAGATTGACTCTCTTTTTGAGGGTATCGACTTCTACACGTCCATCACCAGGGCTCGCTTTGAAGAGCTGTGCTCTGACCTGTTCCGTGGCACCCTGGAGCCCGTGGAGAAGGCTCTGCGTGATGCCAAGCTGGACAAGTCGCAGATCCACGACCTGGTCCTGGTGGGGGGCTCCACTCGCATCCCCAAGGTGCAGAAGCTGCTGCAGGACTTTTTCAATGGGCGCGACCTCAACAAGAGCATCAACCCCGATGAGGCGGTGGCCTATGGGGCAGCGGTGCAGGCAGCCATCCTGATGGGAGACAAGTCCGAGAACGTGCAGGACCTGCTCCTGCTGGACGTGGCTCCCCTGTCACTGGGGCTGGAGACTGCTGGGGGCGTGATGACTGCCCTGATCAAGCGCAACTCCACCATCCCCACCAAGCAGACGCAGGTGTTCACCACCTACTCTGACAACCAGCCTGGGGTGCTGATCCAGGTGTATGAGGGTGAGAGGGCCATGACTCGGGACAACAACCTGTTGGGGCGATTTGAGCTGAGTGGCATCCCACCGGCCCCCAGGGGTGTGCCCCAGATCGAGGTGACCTTTGACATTGATGCCAATGGCATCCTGAATGTCACGGCCACTGACAAGAGCACTGGCAAAGCCAACAAGATCACCATCACCAATGACAAGGGCCGCCTGAGCAAGGAGGAGATCGATCGCATGGTGCAGGAGGCAGAGAGGTACAAAGCTGAAGATGAAGTGCAGCGTGAGAGGGTGTCTGCCAAGAATGCCCTGGAGTCCTATGCTTTCAACATGAAGAGCGCTGTGGAGGATGAGGGTCTCAAGGGTAAGATCAGCGACAGTGACAAGAAGAAGGTGCTGGACAAGTGCCAGGAGGTGATCTCCTGGCTGGATTCCAACACCCTGGCTGAGAAAGAAGAGTTTGAGCACAAGAGAAAGGAGTTGGAGCAGGTGTGTAACCCCATCATTACTGGACTGTACCAGGGGGCAGGTGGGCCTGGAGCTGGTGGCTTTGGGGCTCAGGCTCCCCGGGGTGCCTCTGCATCTGGTCCCACCATTGAAGAGGTGGATTAGGGGATCTTTGCTGCCTAAATTCTTTGAGGTGATTGGAACTCATGGACATTGCCTTATCCTTTTATTTTTATACTACTTGATTTTACCTTTTCCTCCCTCCTACAGTTAAATTGCAATCTAATGATAAATAGGTGTCTCTTGTTAATGATTTTGTAGCATAACTGGATGTTTATTCTAATTTGCATTTTAATATAAGTCAGTGATACAAACTAGTATTTTGTGAATCTCGATCTTCAAGTGAGTCAACACTGCCACCCTCTGTCTACTTTTTGCATTGCAAAATGTGCAAAGTCAATTTTTTTATATAACTTGTTTGCTTAAAGTTAAAAAATAAAATACTAAAAAAATGCATTACATTTTTGTATTCTTTTTATTTGGAGATGGTTGCTATATTAAAAGTTGGAGAGTTCTTCACAGAACTTTCTAGCAAGAAAGGCCTGCTGGTCTCCTTGTAAAAAATAAGATATTGGACACTCTGGAGTATGAATCTGACATAGAATTACCTTGAGTTGGAGTCAGCTTGATGGACTGATTTAATCATTCTCAGTACATAAATTATGTAACGCTCCACTAACCAGGAAAGGGGTACCTATATTAATAGCCATGGCTGGTTTTTGCTGAGACAACTGCATGAAAGACATCTGTCAGAAGGCAAAAAGTTGCAGGTGCTCTTTTTTAAAAGAGATTGGACATATCTGGGGAAATAAAGGGATGAGGATCTCAAAGGGGTGTTAAGAATTCTCTGAATCGACTAGGCAGAAAAAAAGGAAGCAAAACGAAGGGTAATTTCTTGCTCATTGCTTTGCTTCCTGCATTAATGAGTCCTTGAGTTTTATTTTGCACTCTTCACCGATGGGTTTTGTAGGATTTTATTTAGCTTATAAATTGTGGGGTTTGATGAAACATGCTGGTTCTTTAAATTCCAGCTCTCACAAAGTGCAAATTAATCTGGCCCCTCCCTGCTTTGTTGCCTCCTTTTAAAGCAGTCTATCTAAATAGTCTTCTAAAGTTTTAACATCATTTTGAGCAGAAATAGAAACAGTATCTTGAGCTGTGACCACACCAGATGCATTTAGCCAAGTGAGATGCTGCTAAAAGTGTGCCAAGGCAGCAAAAAAGAAGTGGGTCATGTGCTTTTTCAGGTTCTTTGTATCATCTCATTAGTGTTCACAACCCTCTAGGCATTCTAAAGCTTTTGCAGGTGGTCACTTCAGCCACATTTAGATCAACATCAGGGCAGCAAGTGATAGTTATCAGGAAGATTTTTGATTTGTTGGTTTTTGGTGGTTTTTTTTTCTCCAAACTCAGTACTATTGATATTTAAAGAAGCCCTTCTGAAAACTTGAAAGGATAGCTATGAATTGCTTCTGACTTGATAGCAATGAGGGTTTTTTGAATTGTTGTTAGGTGCTGTTAAGTCCAATAACACTCAAAGCAACCCTATGAACAACAGACCTGAATTTTGCCCTATCCTGTGTCATCCTCCTTACCTGTGACACAGACATCCTCATTGCTGCAGTTACTGTATCAATCCATTTCTCTAGGGATCTTCCTCTCCTTTGCTGACCTTTGTCTTTCCAAGCATGATGCTCTTTTCCAAGGAATAGACTTGCCTAGCTACATTTCTAAAGCCAGGAAGTAGAACAAACCCTTTTGCTTCACAAGCCCTTTGAAACACACATCTCATCCAAGTCACATTAAAACTGGGAAAAAGGGAGCTCTGGTGGCCTAATGGCAAGAAGCTGCTCTGCAAACCCTAAGGTGTGTGATTTCGAATCCACCTGATGCTCTGCTGGAGAAGTCTAGGCAGTCTCCTGTGCCAGTTGGAAAAAAGGCATGGAAAAAACCCCTAAATGGTTCATTTGAAACAATTAAGAATCTTCGTTTACATATTTGCATATATTTAAAGGTGTTTCTAAAGTGCAGCTAAAGTTTAAAAGTATTGTACCAGAGGCTACTTCTGATTATTTTTCACAGGAGGGAGCTCTGGTGGCCTAGTAAAAAGAAGCTGTGCTGCAATCCCAAAAGTATGTGGTTTGAGGCCACCAGTTATTCCACAGAAGGATGGGCAATCTCCTCCTGTGTGAGTGCCTCTGAAAACCCACTAGAGGGTTAGCTATGGATTAGTTCTGACTTGATGGTACATAATAACAAGGAGTAATGGGAGCTAGGACAGGATAGTGACCTTGGGATTTTCTCGTGGTGAGAGTCTAAAGGCTTGTGAAGGAAGGTTTAAAGGTTTTGACAGATTTGCAAGGGCTATGATAAAAAATTATGGAAATCTCCAGAAACATTAATAGGTATAAAAAGAATGTCTCCTAACTGGGGAAGTGCTTAATTTGAAGGCGACATCAGAATAGAAGTCATTTGCCTACATATACATACATCTTGGAACTTTAAAGCAATCTGGTTTTTTTTTTTATTATTTTTTATTATTTTGTGTGCGTGTACCGTCAAATCAGATCTGACTGGTACAGGAGGATATTGCGCCTCCTTCTCCGGCAGAGCATCTGGTGGATTTGAACCGTGTTCTTCTGGGATTGCAGTGCAGCTTCTTGCCACTAGGCCACCAGAGCTCCCCTAGCGATCTGGTTTTTAAGTCAGCCACAAATTGAACCTGGTCCCTGGCTGCTGAAGATGTATCAAGATAAAGAAGTGAATACTATAGAATTCATGGAAGAGACTTTTAAAAAATTTTATTTTTTTATGGAAGGCTGATTATGTTGGGCAAAATAATTGCAGAGGAAGCAAAACGATGCCTTTTCTGTAGTCACAGTAAGTAGTCTCTGTTGTACTGAAGGGATCTAATTTATGACTAAAACAGGAGATTGATTTAGAATGGTTTGTAGGCCCCAAATCATCCTATGTGACTTTCTCACAAACACGAAAAAATGATGCCACCTTATATAACTAAACACTATTTGCATTGTAAACAGGGGCGGAGGAGTAATGAAGGGGCCAGGATGGTGGGATATAGGTAAAACTTAAGTGAATTAAGGAAGGTTGGTTTGGTGGCCTAGAGGTAAGAATCTTGCTGCCAGTATGAGGTTGTAGATGGGCGATCTCTTGTCGTGCAGTCTACTGCTTCTGAAAATCCTCTGGAGGGTCAGCTATGAATCTATTCCTACCCCACAGCAACAATACTGAATTAAGAGTCAAGAGCAAAGACTAAGAATGGGGCCTGTAAACATCCCCACCCCAATTAGATTGGCTCACAATCCACCTTGTGACATATGATGACATTTCACCAACTCATTGGGGTAGAGTCGAAATCAACTCTTAGTTGTTTTGAGGCTGTAAATTGCTCGGGAGGAGGTTGCCTATCTTTCTCGCGCTGAGTAACTGGTGGATCTGAATTAACAGCCTTTGGATAACAGCACAGCTCCTTACACACTAGGCCACTAGATTTCTAAAAAGTGGTAAACATCCCTCTCACCAATTTCAGGTTGCTGACGAAAAAGACAGCCTAATGTGTCTGACAGATCTGTAGATTCAGGTAGACTTTCCTGTTTGGACGGGGAGAAGCAACCTAAATCCAGGATAACAAACCCCAAGATGGAGACAAGTGGGAACTCTACAGTTAAGGAAGGAGCTCATGGGTTGTTACTGTTCCTTGAGGATCTATTGCTTTTCCACAGGCCACTCTTTCCACACAGCCCGCAAGGGGGCGACAGAGCTGCAGCACGCGCGCGCATTCTCCCTCCCAACCTCCCCGCCTCTGGGGGCCTTCTCCTGTCTGGCCACCCAGGTCCCCTGTTTTTGGTTTGGGTGTTTTTCTATCAAATTCACACAATACCTCCGATTATTTGTACAAAAAAGTGTTAAACATACTTCCAGATCTCACTTTCACTCTATTAAATTTTTAACTGAGAGAACGATGGAGAAAATGGCGCGAGTCCGGTCAGGCATTTGAGAAGACCGCTATGCCTGGTTAGGTCCTTGGCCCGCGTTGTCATAAATAGCCTTGGCTCCACCTTTAATGTTCTTTCTCGTTCCGTCCACGAATCTTTTGTGCATGTTCCTCATGGGAGCTCACTCGGCTACCCAGCTCTTGGCGGTGATGCTGATCCCGATGGGAGGCAGCGAGGCTGGCCACGGAGCCCAGCATCATCTAGGCACTTTGCAGCATTCAGGTACCGTTGGGCCCGACTGGGTGAAGGGGGCATGATCACGGGCTGAGAAGGATGAACTATTGTTACAGACTAGAGTTTCTGATTGTCTCCGTGACGCCATTGTTAGGAACTGACCCAGCCTAGGGCAGGAGGAGCGTGGCTGGAATCGCTTCGGCCTTTGCTGACTGCTTGGTTTTTTTCTCAGGCTCCTGAGTCCCACAGACGGTTCGGTAGCGCCACGTGTGGTGAGTGTTGTGCGAAGTGGTTCGCGGAGGTCGCCCGGGTGAAAGGGAGGACGGAGGTTAATGATGACCCCAGGTGATTCTGAGTGTCTCGCTGACGCCATCACCGCAGCGCGCTGACAACCCCCCCACCTCCAGGACCTGCATCCCAGATTCCAGGGTTTGGGGAAGAAACAGAGCCAGGAGCCCGTAATAATTTTTTTTTTTCTTTTAGCGTTTACTCCTTCGTTAGAGCATTTGGGATGTTTACCTTGATGGTATTTAGGATAAAAAGTGAGTATCCTTTTCCAAGTTCCTCTGCTGATAGTCTGCCCGCCCCTGAGCCCTTTCAACACTGTACTCATTGTACTTGGGGTTCTTATAAACGATCATGTTGTATATGCCTAGTGATAAAAGAAGATCTTTTTTTTTTTTATATTTCTGAATTTTGTAGTAAGTTGTCCTTCCATGAGCTTGAATAAGTTTCGCTTTAGTCAGTTACTTTAAGCTCTGTTGTAATTTTTGAGACTATTATATTAGAATATATGAAATCTTATTTTAGGGTGACTTGTCTTGAAGTAAATCCCTATCCCTAATTTGAGTATGATGATTTCTCAGACTAGAGTCTCTGACACTTGGTCTTGATGTCAAAAGTAAATTCTGACTCATTTGGGGAACTGGGTACTTAAGTTGCTAAGAAAGGGCCAGCAGGGGTCCTCAACACTCTGCTTATCCATCTCCTAATGGGTTATTCCACTTTTTCACGGCCAGGGCAATGTCCCAGTGACTGAAATTGATCTGGGAATAATGTGGACAGATGGCTAGAGCACCAGTGGTGATTCTTGATGGAGTCTTCCATTCCCCTGGGCTCCTAAGGTAGGTGCCTTCCGTCTTGGTCTACAGTCCTAATGTGGAAATGATGACCTG